CCTGCGTCGTGGGTCCGCAAGGACTACTTCCACGGCTACTTAGAACGAGCGCGGCCGCAGCTATGCGCTGGGTCTCGCGTTTGACCGCCCGGCCGGCCTGGCGTGGTCCCAACCCCTCAATGTCTTTCTGACCCTTGGCCAGACCCGCTACCTGTTGAATGCCAGTGACTTTGACGGCCGTGGCTACCTCAACATGCAGCTGACTGAGGAGGAGTGGGACAAGATGGTCTCGGTTGACGGCAAATTTGTCACTTTCGGTAATCCCGGCTGCTTGAGACGACCAGACGGCTCGGTGCCCCAAGGCTTCAACGAAAGTCAGGTCTTTGCACCTTCTGAAGATCGGGAGAGTCCGCTCTGGAAGTCAATCGAGGATGGCCTCAAACTGTTCGGCTTCAAAGAAAGCGAGGTCATCAATGTTGTCCGCATCCCCCATTGTCGTGCAGGCCGTCAGAGAGGGCGTCCAGCTTCTGCCTCCTGCGGACTCGATGCTCATCAACCGACCCCATGCCCTCGTGGCTGTTGCAGGGGATGCCGCCATGACCGTCCACTTCTGGCCTGGCCGTGGCCTCAATAGCGGCATCAAGTCCGGAATCGCCCTTGGTGACGAGATTGTTCACGCCCTCAACAGCGGCCGCTTCATCGGTCTGCCCCTTGACGCCATGAAGGAGTACAATGATTTCATCATGAAGCTCCAAGGTCGCGAGCACGACAAGCGTAGCATTCCCATCCTCAATCAGTCCGGCTCCCCCGAGATGCTCGGCTGGCTGCTGAGCAAGGCCCACACCGTACCCGACGAAGTGGCCATCGAGTGGCTCATCGGCGCCATGACCCAGATTGCCGATCGCCTGGAGCAGAGGCCCGACTGGGCGTTCCCGCCAGTGGCCAACGTCGAGCCGCAGCTGCGCATCGTGCTGCGGCAACTCAACTCGGTGACGCTGCGCGAGATGGCCGTCAGCTTCCCCTGGCCCACGCGCGAGATGGGTGGCGCCGAGGTCCTGCCCATCCGGTCCATGAAGCCCGAGGAGAAGCAAAAGTGGCTGCAGCAGCTCTGGGGTCTGCTGAGCGCCGAGAAGGGCAGAGAGACAGGACACAAGCGCGTCTCGTCGCGGGACAACTCGGCCCTCAAGTCGCCGTCGGCCTCGCGATTCGAGGCGCCACGCAATCCTGCATCAAAGGTGCCTCGCGCCCCGTCGCCGTCGCCGCAGTTCCTTGCTCCTGAGCCCCAAGGGACGGCGCCGCAGCGCACCGAGTCACAGCTAAGGCGGAGCAATGCCGTGGGTAGGAGCCGCAGCAATTCTCGTGCCGTCTCGCCGGGGCCCGCGGAGACGAATCACATGGTACCAGGGGCTGCTGTCGAGTATCCGCTGCCCCTGAGACCGCGGTCGCCATCGGCAGGAGGCGATGTCAACCTGGGAAGGCTGCTGAGTGTGAGCAAGAGGCCTGGTAAGGGCGTTTTGTCAGATGCTATGTCATTGGCGTTATTCCGAGTGGATGGGTCTGATTAGGTGTGCATAACCGTGAGCATGGTCATTTTGAGGGGCAAAAAGAAGTACAAATCAGGCCTTCACTGGGTTTGGGAGCGGTCGGACGAAAGCACATCATATCATTTTGTACAATCATAAACTCATACTACCCAACAGTCCGTCTTCCAAGCGTTGTGTTCACAGCACGGGATATCATCACGTCCATTTCCACCTTCTCTTTCCGAGCTAGGACCTTTCAAGAAACAGAGACCTGGTACGAGCTGGTCGTGAAGACGGCGTTGGATCCAGTGAACGGCTCCGTGCCGGCACCGACACTCTGCAGGATCTGACTCTTCGGCAGCCCGTGGTTGGCCGCGAGGTAGTTGACAAAGGCGTACAGGTCAGCGTTGAAGCTGCGGATGTTCGAGGGCGCGACAAAGCTGAAGACGTTCATCTGGCTGTGGCTGCCCTGGTACAGCTTCCAGGTCGTGCCGGCAATGGTGGGGTTGGCAATGGTGCTGCCGGTGGCGCTGATGGGGCCGGCGCCGCCGAGGGAGCCGAGCCAGATCATGATCTCGTAGGCCGGCGCGCTGTCGGCCGTGTTGCCGGTGAAGAGGTCGTAGGCGACGTTGGCGACGAGGCTGGAGCCCGTGTAGGACCAGGACCACGACGAGGGGATGGACGACACCTGGCTCAGCGGCCGCTTGGTGATGGCGAGCAGGGCGTTGGGGTACGACTTGACGTTGTTCTGGCCGCCGGCCCAGCTCCACGACGTCGACCACGACACGGCGTTGCCCGACAGGCCCGAGAGCGTCGTGCACTGCTGTCCGGACGTCGCGGAGCCCTTGCCCCAGAGGTTGTTGTAGACCGTGTACGGGCCCGCGACGGCGCTGCCCCAGTCGTCGCAGAAGGTCGAGGACTGGCGGGCGCTCAGGGGTGAGGCCAGCACGGCGAGGGGCAGGGCGAGGAGGGCTGCGACCTTCATGGTGGCTGTTTGCGGGTGATCTTGGAACGAAGCCGAGGCAAAGTGAAGAGGGAGGAGAACAACGCTGGACTGGGTATCTGACTTGAGTGCCTGGATCTCTTGGTAGTAGAGAGTGAGTCTTTCTGGTGGACAATCTGGTCTTCTTATATGTTCCATGGATTCGACGGGAAGGCGTGTTCACTCCATGCCCAGGCGTCGTAGACGTCGTCATCGCGCAATGGGAGCCAGTGTCCATGCCGCACTCAATCCGCAACACCGAGGAAGGATATCATCTGATTCCCTGCCTCGCATCAGGCCCCGCCCAACCACGATATTTCCGCACAAATCACCGCTACGCGTCTATTCCCACGCGTCAAGAGCATGACGATCACATCCCATCCCGTCGCCTGACACGAGTCCGCTGTACCCCAGACTGAGCCGACCCCTGCCCAGATCGACAACTACCGAGCCGCTCGTGGGGTAGTCCCGGCCAAGAGATGCCGCAGTTGTCGTAGTGGTCGTCCGGGGGGGCGCGGGGTGTGGAGGTGGCGATTGGCGGAACAGACAAGAGATCGTCGGTATTCACTGCCGGGTAGGTGAGATTATCAGGGACGGAGGGCCTGGTTCCGTTTTTGGGGTAGACTGTGGGTTCCAAGTTTTCTGTAAGCTGGAGGAAACATGGCATGGAAAAAGAGCGAGTCAGTGAGTCTACGATGATTGAGGGGTAGGACGATGAGATTGTGCATGTCGGGGTGGCTAACGATGTAAGCGACGGGTCGACCGCACTCCTGACCGGCAGCGGGTAAACGATCTATACTACTCTTGCGCCGACCATGCGCTCTACGAGAGCTCCCGCAAAGGGTTTGGAATATCCGCCTCGCAGAGACGTACCTGGAGACTTGGGAATCGCGGTCCGAATGATAGTTCCGTTGGGTACATATCTCGCGTCAAAGGTGATATTAATGATGCTCTTTGGTCAGTATTTTGGGGTTTCAAGAAGCCACAGAGTTGCGTTCGCTGCCCGCGACTTCCTCGGAAAGTGCTATAATATGATCCGCTAAAATCTTACCGATCAGCGGCACATCTGGTTGAGTCTCATCAGACATACTCATGCAAGATGATAATGCGGAGGGTGCCTGGCCTTAGACTCCTGTTCACACGCCTATAACACGCTCGCAAGAGGCAAATTATGATAGTTCAGGACCGTATCCATGCCCTGACAACTGCGCCGACTGCTTCGGGCTGATCCCAGGGGGCCATGTGACCAGCTTCGTCCACCAGAAACAGGCTGAGACGATTATCGCCCTTCCATTTCCCTCCCTTCTTCTTTTCATCAGTGAGTCCCTCACGCGCTATTTCGCCGTCGGCATAGTGCCAATCCTCGAATGCCTGTTGTCTGTACCAAGCCTGGCGAGCCCAGGGCTGTTCATCAAGCATCCTGATCTGCCCAGGCGAGTTGCTACAAGATATAATACGTCAGATGTTGGCTTGAAAAGGTCACGGCCGGCGAAGGCTTTGACTCACATGATCATGTCATCATTGCCATTGATGAAGAGAACGCGAATATGTGTTTCGTCGAGAAGCCAAGTCAGTTCCCGCGTAGTCGGCAGGAAAAGATGGCCGTCCTCTTCCCACCTCTGGTTGGCGTCCATGTCAATCAGTGAGAAGGACTTTCCAGGGTATCCAAGTCTTTCTAGAACCCAAGGTTTGTTCAGAAACTCCCTTGTTGGCCCGCCCTGCAGGTCGGAGCAGAGTGGAGGGTTTTCGCATGTCAGTCGGCCTGAGACAGCTTCAATACGAGTACTACTTATCACACCACGAGGAAATCACTTGGATACTAGAAATAGACTGACCATCATAAGGATTCCAACCTCCAGACTTCACGTTTTTCCAAAAGAATTTGGCCACCGTGTCGTTGCAGTGCGACGAGGCGAGAGTGCAAATCTCGACATCATAAGTTTCGCGGCAGAGGGCTCCCTTCTTCTCACAGCTTGGAACACCGGCGACCATAGATTCGCACTCTTCGGGGTCGAGAAGGGGCTTACGGCCATCACCACGCCAGTCGAGACAGAGATAATCGTAAAAGCCAGCCGCACTTCTGGAGTCATCGATGTACCCATCAACAATAATGGCCGTGGCGATATCGAGCGGAATAGCGCTGCTTTGAATGGCTCGTTCTCGCTGCTGCTGGATGATGTACTGAGTGTATCCAGTAACATAATGGCCTCCCATTGACTCACCGGCGATGTGCCAAGTCTTGTCGGCTGTGTCAGGAAAGACACGGGATGTAAAAATCGAGAGAAAGGCGTAGAGATCGCGACCTCCCTGTTCCAGTGTGACTGCCATGAGATCTCGGTCACTGATTTCCGAGAACCCCACGCCCACTGGCTGGCTGGTCATGGTCAGCGGAGAGGTTCGAATTCTGTTGCATCAGGATGCTACTCACTCAATGAAAAGCACGTTGGCCTTGTCCGTCCAGGAGAATGGCCGCTTTGATGTAGAATTACCGTCTAGGTTTACTTGACAAGGTCCACTATCTTTGAAGATGCCGAATTCGCCTGTTGCACCAGGGCCCCTAAAATAATTAGCTGGAAACAATACTCGGCCACAAAACGTAGCGACCTACCCGCTCATCCACAACAGTACTGGGTCAGTCTGTGGGTGGCTACGGCTTTCGAAATACCCTGAATTAGAGGATTAGCAAGGGCGCCTTCGACGAGTCGCTCACAAGCACTGACAAAAGGACAAGTTCTTATCGTTTGTGATTGGGACTGAACCAGTCCAGTGCCGCGACCCGGCATCGCAAAGGACATCAGTCTGCTCGCGTAGATTGAAGGTCGGTAGATTGGCAACGAGAGGCTTTTGACTTGGGGCGCATCGACCAAGTGCAAAGAGGCTCGTCGCCTGCAGGGCGAAGACTGTGAGGTCTGAATATGACCGCATGTTCTGACTCTGCGGCAGATGTTATGTTGAGCAGTTTTTCGCCGAATGACGCTCACCAACTCATCTGATCTGGTGGCGAGGACGTTCGCTGAAAATTCATCCACCTGCTCATGACAAGGAATCTAGTGGCGCCCTACTGTCAAGGGTACTGAGATTCAACAGTGCCGTCATACCCGAGGCTGGTACGCGCCGCGTGGCACGAATAACCTAAACCGGATATGTGGACCATTTACACCATATCTGGTCGACCATCACCATCCCATCCAGATCGTCGGATTCGATGGCTCCTAATGTAGTCATTACGGGCTACCTCTTCAATGAATACCCGGCGACCAAGGCGATGAAGTCCCAACTATACTGAGTGCGATCAACTGTCCGGTTGTCATTGTCGCAGTGTCAATTAAGCCTGTCGCTGAGGACTTTGGACTTTGGCCCACAAGAAGGATCACTAGCCTTCAGTTTCTAACTTGCCAACGACGCCTCCAGCGTCTGTGACAGCTTTATCCCAGGCACGGCTGGTTTTCTGACCACAGATGACGTCCCACCGCAAGATTCTTTTGGCTCCACGAGAGCAAATATGAGCCTGCAAGGGATCCTCTCAATCTCTGAATGACTGGCGTCGAACTGCCACGCGAACAATGATGCTTGCTCACACACGCTATAGAGGCCTGGGAGCGTTATCTGTTGCATTCGGGGGTGTGATGTAGCTAAGCACATGTTGGATTGCTGCAGAAGGGGAGTGCACAGTGATCAACCCGTTTAGCTGGAACGAACAAGCCAACCTGCTCTTCGTTGAGTAAGTCTACGAGATGCAGGCCCGTAGTGAAGACCCGGTAACACAACTGACATCACTAACCAGTCAGCCAGCAGGTGATGATTCCTCTCGTTCCAACGAAGTTAAGAGCCTCTCGAGGTCGTCGCAGCTAATGAACCGCTTTTTGGGTCAAATCTTTATCGGCTTCCCAGAGTTCGTTACGCGAGGTTCTACATCGCTGGGGAGTCATATGGCGGCTCCTTGGATCCCACACTGGCGGTTGACATTCTCCATGCGCGAGATGAACCGGCAAAACATTTCAGCTCCAGCATCGACTTTCCTGAACAGATGCCACTCATCGATCCGTCAACTCCTAGTCGGGCGACTACCATCAACCTAAAGGGCAACATAATCGTCCATGGTCTGATCCGACAATCTGTCCAGAACTCAGCCGGAATCGAAGCAGCCTGCGATGGAGCAGCAGGGGGTTTCTCGAGTGAGAAGTGTCATGAGTTTTCTCCTCTTTCTGTGTGGTGCAGGAGTGGCAATCGGTAGATGATCTTCGGAAGGCAAGTCATGGGTACGTGGAAGACATATTGGGCAGAGTCAGTGTTTCACCTAGACCGTAAACCACCATTTTAGCTACTAATACTATTTATAAGAGTGTGCGAGCTCTCATCTACGAAGGCGACAAGGACTGCTTCTGCCACGCTGTTGGCATGCGGCGACTGGTAAATGAGGGGTTCAGCTGGAGGGGCAAACCTCTCCTCCAGTTCCATGAGCTGAGATCTTGGTACTCTGGTCTGAAAATTCCGGTACGTTCAAGGCACTGGAGCCGCTTTCCTACGCTGAAGTCAACGAGAATGGACACGTGGTTCTATTTGATCAGCCCGAAGCAGCCCTCGCGCTTGTCAACAGCTCCATCTGTGGGAAGCTGGGAGGCCAAGATAGAGGGTTTGATGGCCTCAGCGACAAGACGTCTTTATTCGAGTATGTCTATGATTAGCTCCTCTAAGGGGGTTGGTGAGCACAATCGCTCCATCAGTGCCGTTTCTATGCGTGTCACTTGAATATGCACGATATTTATAACGCCAAGTGGAGATCACCACTATGCCACACATTTGAATACAAAGCCCCTCTCGTGACATGAATGTGTTTGAGAAGTTGAGTGATGACCCTGTTTCAGCTTTCAGAACAAATCTTTGAGCGCTTCACTTTGGAACAGCACACCTGAAAGGCGCTGTCATAGCAGACCATATACCTACGACAACTGTCACGTACGGCTGAGCTTTACTATTTCTGTTGACCAGATGACCTGGCACAATTTACGTCTCAAGGAACTGTCTGTCAGTGCACGAAGACGCCCTGGAATTCAACGCAGCTTTTGCAATTGTTTGTAAAAGCAACAATTGCGGGAAAAGCTTCGGGGATTTCTTGTCTTGAGAAACTTTGAAAACGCGAAGAAGCCATCAAGGATAATGAAACCGGCGAACCATGGAGTTCAAGATATTTGATAAAATCTTGTCTATGGGGGGAAAGTTCTCGACTCTATGTCATGATTTCCGAAATATCTAGCTTTGGCAGAATGAGCCACCCATTGAACCAGGCCACTTCACCCACTCGTATTGAATTGTCTGGCCATGACAGTATTGCAGTTTTATAGTTCTCTTACTTCTTAATTATAATACCTATCTGTAAATCATCAAGACGTAGAAGCTATGACTGTTATTGCAGCGAAGGTAGTCATCACCGACTCCAAAAGCTTGGCGAAGTTACACGCACTAGCCGTCTCAGATCAAGCAGTCCGCGCCGAAGATGGTGAAGCCTTCCTTAGCCTGCCAAACCGGGGCGTGAGAGCTCGCACAAAGACCCGTCTTCACGGTCTCTTCGTGCACTTGGCCACCAAATAAGCCCCGTAGACCCTCGTGCTGCTTCACAAATACCCGCCACCTGAAAGCCAGACATTGAGATCATAATTCATACCAAATACGCCGTCTAAGCCCCCAAATGCCATTTCATTACTGGGTTGCTCATTTTTCCCCCATCTCAGGGAGCCCGCAACGTCACCACTTCATTCAAATGATCAATCAACGGCTGCAAGAATCCCGTGGCAAGGGCCCTCGGCAACAGCTCGTGGACGACCCTGTCACCCCCAAACCAGCACGCTCGCGGTCTCCCATCATCATAAGCTCTCCCGTCAAACTGCGGATCGAACTTGGTGCCGGCCAGGTGGCGCGTGAAACAACCGGCGCAGACCCACACGCCCGGCATGTCCGGATGGCTGTACCACGTCGCGGGGAAGGCGTAGGTTATGGGCGCGGCGAGGCATGCCGTCATGTCCGTCTCGGGCGCGTCATCCATGATCGGGACGAGGGGCAGCTTCGGAGGCACGGCGGGTGGGCTCAGCGGGTGGACGTCAACGAGCGGTGAAGACTCGGCGTAGTCGTCTGGATAGTGCGTGATTTTTAGGGAAGGGCGACGGTGATCAAGGCAGTCGAGGGAAGGGTCGGAGCTGTTCCAGCCTGAGGAGGAGATTCCGAGTTCGGAGAGAAGCTCATCAATGTCGTCTACCAGCTCGTCGCGCTCGAGACGAGATTCGGGCGCGGGCGCGGGCGCGGGCGAGGGTTCGCCGGCATCAAGCTCTGACGGGGCGAGGGACCAGCGCGGCGACGGCGCTCTTGGGGCCAGGGTCGCAGGAGGTTCCGCCGGCGGTGAAGGCATCGTTGACCACCGCGACGATGGCGCGCACGATACAGGTCTCGCGGGTGTGTCATTTGGCGGCGAGGGCGGTGCGAAGCTGACTGGGCTTGCGAATATTGACTCGGGACTCACACAAGACACAGAGCGAGGCCTCTCGCGCGGGACGGGTGGTGACAGTGAAGGAGACGGCGGCACATAACTGTGGTACGTCGTCGGTTCAGGATTCACGTACGACATCGGCCTCGGTCTTGGCGCGCTGGTCTCCCTCACCGGTGGTGAAGAAGTGTACGGCCTTGGCGGCAGTGCTGGGCGTACGACTTCGCCGCCGATCGGCTTCCTCCGCATGGTCTGTGATGTGCCTATGCCGTTGTTGCAGCTCACAGGGGCATCGGCAGGCACAGATTGCCTGCGTTGGTCGCCGTGCGTCCATTGCAAGGGCGAAGTGTCCCACTGCTCAGGGCGGGCTGGGCGATAGGGCATGTAGGACACTGGGCGTGGCGGGAGAAGTGGTGGTGATGGGAGGCCTGTCTGATCGGGTCGTTTTGGGCTCCGCGGTGGGAGGGCTGGTGGTGTGCGGGGATTATACCACATGGCCGAGAATTCAATAGCTCTGCTCTCAGAATACAAGCTGTTGGCAAAGCAGATACCAAGGATGTGTGCTCACAGACAATGTGCCAACACTCGGCGCCTTTGGGGAAATGATCGTGGAGTTGGTGAAGCCGGTGAGGATCCTCCGAGTGGCTTGAGATTCGTCTCGTGACAAGGCATACTCGACTGCCGGACTAGATGCGGCATCCTCCAGTCGGCGTTGGGTACAATCAATCAGGGCTGAGAGCACCAAGCCAAGGGCCAGGCGAGGGCGTCTTCAGCCTCACGCCGCCGGCTGAGATGAGACGAGACATGGCGCCTTTTTTCTTGTCTGGATCGCGACGGAACGAATCGCCAGAGTTGTGGATGTCTGTCGATTCATTCGGGGAGTGAAACAGCTCGCTCTCTCATACCGCCCACAACACAATAGCAGATCGAGGGCCTTCAGGTCCCTCAGGGGCGAGCACACAGCCTTCCATCCATCAGCAGCGAGGTATTTGTCGCCTAAGAATCCCGCTAACCGCCACGATGCATCACGGCAATCAAATCCCCTTGCTCGTTCCCCCCACATCAAAACCGACAGCCCCTCCCAAACCCACCCCCGAGCCCACCCAGATCAATCACGAAGCAAAAATTCAAAAATGAAATGCCGCTACACGGAGTTGAACCGTGGACCCCCGCATGTCGGGATGGTACGAGTGCGATGCTCTAACCACTGAGCTATAACGGCTTTGTTTCATGCGATATCGGCTTGGAAGGCAGAATCATGACCTCTGGGGACGTGAATGACAACCAATTTCACCCATTCTTCCAACTTGACGTTTTCCAGACATTTACATCGGCGGAACTCAGTGCTTGACTGTTGTAGGCGATTCCCTTTTCTCAGGAGAATTCCGGGACAATCTCTTGTTGGGGTCCATGTCTGGGGACGACAACGTCTAGCAACCGGTTCATAACCTCAGACAAACCACGACAAACGCTCATTTCAATGCAAGGAATCGCTGGCTCTAGAAGGCTCGCACAGATGCAAAATACCAGACGCAACCTATTCAAAAATTCTGTTCCCTGCTCGTATCGCTCTCTACCTCGCCGGGTAATTGCCTCCATCCAGTTCTGCCCCGTGGTACGGGTATGGTCCCGATCCCATGAGCTCCGGCCTCGGCGACGTGTCGTCCATCTCAACATGAGCCGGCACAACGTTTCCCTGGGCCGGGGATCCCGCTACTGTGCTGCCCCAGTTCGACGGGGACGATGAGCTTGTCGTCATTGTTGCAGTCCCGCCGTGCGTGGACGGCGGCATTTCGGCCGGTAGCATCATATGTGACTCCTTCTCCCTCTCCAGCCCTTGGTTGGTGTTCCTCCGTCGGCGGCGGACGAGAAACCATGCGAGGAAGGCCACAAGCGCAATGCCGGCGACACCACCCACGACGCCGCCCGCAATGGCCCCCACCGGCGTTGAGCTGTTGGAAGACTCGCCGTTCGCATTGCCACTGTTTCCATTCTCATTTCCACCAGAGGTACCCTCTTCCGACTCCTCCGAAGAGGCGCTGTCGGTGAAGAGCTTCTTTACGTTGTCCGAAGACCACGGAACCTTTTGGAGACCACTGCATTTCTGTCGTCAGCTCAGACCCTTGGATAATTTTCTGATCAAGCCCACACTCACCCTTCATCATACCACGCCTGCACCTCGGCCGGCGATTCATACGCACCAGCATCGGCGTCGAAGGCGTCTGTCCACTTGAGTTGCGTCATGTCAAAGATGCCCAGTCCCTGTGGGCGCGGATCAATGTCCTCCCAGATGGCAGGACTTCCCTTGTTGTCGTCAACGCCTCCGACGCTGATCATCTGGCGGTTGCCGGCGACAATGCATGCGTGAGCGGTGCGAGATCCCTTGGCTTCGTACTCGGCCTTCGTCCAGACGAATCCCGGAAGACTGAGAATGTAGACGTCGTCAAAAGCGGCCTTGTTGGCCTGGTTTCTACCGCCGTGGACCACGCTGTGGTGATACCCGTGTCAGTTTCGGCCACGACCGGTTACTCGCCACGGTTCATATTGGTAGACTCACATTTCATAGGTTCCGTTTGTTGACTCGGCACCGGCGACGCAAAACCATTCACGGCGAAGGGGAGCTTCACCCGACGTCGTCTGGGAGTGCCACTCGCGCGTGACGGGGTCGAAGAAGGTGAGATTCTGCATATCAAGGTAGCCCATCGAGCCCGAGCCCGTCATATCCCACGCCGCGCCGCCGATGAGGATAACGATGCCGTTAGGACCAAAGGTAGGGACGTAGTGTGCATCACCGCCGTACAGGGTTCCGTAGGATGACCAAGGACTGTTCGTTTCGTTGGCCCATGACTTGGTCGTGAAGTTGAACGAGAGATAGCCCGGTACGTAGCCTCGGGGGCCGCCAGAGGTGCCCGGGGTCTCGAGACCGCCGAACCAGAACGCGGCATCGGGTGTGCTCACGTAGGCGCCGCCCTGGGAGCGCCTGAGGCTCGTGTACGTCGAGGGGTTGCCGGGTGTTTCGGGATTCCAGGTGCCGCCTCCGTCGCCATCAGAACTGAACCTCCAGAGCTGGTTTGTCGGAACGGGTGCGGCGTCGTACGGAACGTGGCCGCCCCAGATGTAGAACGAGTTTGACGCGTTGTGCGTGAAAATGGCCTCTTTCACCATGCCCATGACAGGCTTGTCAATCTCCGTGATCTTAACCTCCGCCGGCTTCCAGGAACGCGTCAGCGGAATCGAGAGCGTGGCGTTGGCTATGTTGGTATCACGTCAGCATATGCGTCCGCAGCGTAATGAGAGCGCTCATGGGTGTTGCGAACCTCCGTTGGATGGACGTTTGGTTTTCTCGCCGTCAACCCACTGTGCGACTTCGCCGCCATCAACAAACATGTAGTCCCCGAGGACGGTCGCTTCTCGGTCGTTAGCCCACTGCACGAGCTTTGAAGACATTCTGCGACGATTTTCCTACCTCTTGGGTGCCATCTCCGCTTGAAATCCTTTGGCGCAGGCGAGGAGCGAAGACCACTATCATCGTCATTGTCGGCTTGACCGATAGCCCAGCCGGACATGGACAAGAGCAGGCTGCAAGCCAGCAGCATCCTGCTTCTCGACATCAAGACCATGCTGATTTGTACAGATCAAAGTCCGCAAGCAGTCGGTCTGTCGTGTGGAAAGGCGCAACGTGCGCGTGCTGTGGCTTGGTTGTCTATTTGTTGTGTACCAGGCGTCAAACTCCTGCGTACCAGAGATGAAGACTTGAGATGATGAAACGCCGTGTATGACAAGAGGGCCGCCTCGGTCCCGAGAAAAGCAGGATGAAGAGACTGAAGGCCCGAGCCAGACGTCCGATCAGCATTATGCCGACCCTGGAAGGTAAGCAGCACACCGTTCCAGTGGGCATGTCCATCTTCATGGTCCCTCTCTGAACCCTCCCCCCATGCTTCATTACGACAGCATGCAGCAGAAGTGGCCTCGCCGACACACATCCGATGCAGCCTACGATCCTTTGCGCAACAGCAAGCGAGGGACTTTGGCGAACCAGGGCAGCAGTGTGGGCGGTTAACGTGCCAGGCGTGCGGACAACCATGGCGAGAAGAGGTCGTCTTGGCGACGATCCTGGCAGTTGGGGGCCAGTAGCCTTGGTCGATCTCTGGTTGATGGACGGCCCTTCTCGTTTGGAGCAGCCCCTTACGGGGGACGGTCCGCCGTAGGGGTGGAGTGGCCATGGGGCCGCCAGGGGGTGCTCAGCCTTATTGAAGCGCGGGTTGACTGTTGGGGCGGGGGCGCGACAGCAGACAGTGGAGCCTGACGAGATGAAGATGGGCCCAGCATGGTGTGTCGAGCAAGTCGCTGTTGTTGTTGCTGCCCTGGCGGATCTTTCTCGCCGACATTGTCGCGTCTTTGAGTGTTGCCTTTTGCTGTGCTCGGGTGCTACGGATGCACTTGGCGTGCCTGTGCCAAGTCGAGATCAAACGAGCCCAAGACGCCTTCATCTTAAGGATATTTCCTGCTTCATCTCGAATGTATCCTGCTGCTGCTAACGGGGGCATGTCTCTTTGATTCAAGCTATTGACCAAGTCAGCCTGCGTCTGGTAATCTCTTCAGCCAAGATGACTGGCTGCAGGGAGCATCTCGAGGCAGCACAGAGACGGGTACGCGTATCGCAGAGAGGGCCAGCGATCAATCAGGCGCCGGGGTTTTCGGTAAGCGACCTGAGGAACCCTTGTCGCGGGTGTTTGTGTTGTTGGCGGGCCAGATGGAATTGATCGCAGGCCGCCAACTGGTTGGTATGTGACAGGAAGCGATCACTGGTGCCTGTGGTGTGGTTTCAGGGTCGAGACCCGTTAGGTTGGGTGGCTCAGAACAGCACAGCCTCTTCGCCCCAAGCTCAGGTGGCTGTTGGGCCTGTGTGGTTCTCGACGGTTCAGCGACTGTCACACCAAGCACAATGAATGTGGCCATATGTGGCTCAAATATTAGTGTTGTGCTGTGTTTGATCCCATGTACTGGGCTCAAGGCTGAACCAGAGAGGCATTGTCGCGAAACAAGCCCCTGGCCCGTCTCAGTGTGACCACGCGCTCGGCAGAGTAGCTGGTCGATCTCGTATCCGACGACGCGCCAACAACAGACGCGTGGCAACTTAAGCTTAAGACAACGACAAGGCAAAGAGTTGTCACTGATGGTCTTTGTCACTGATGGTTCTCATTGCTGTCTATCTGTGTGCTATGAGGAGATCCCCAGGGAGCCAACCTTCCAAATTAACAGAGTGCAAGTCCAGCAGACTGTTCAGCAGACCTTTGGTCTTCTCGTAACCGTACTTGTCGCGTCAAAACTGGACACCCACGGCTCTTTTGCCACTGTCATTCTCTCCCCTTCCATGGAGGGAAACCCATCGGCTACTGTGCTCGCTCGTCAGTCATTCTCAATCTTGTCTCACACGTCAGCCACCGCCTCTAGTCCGACGACACGCTTCAAATCAGATCCCACCTTCCTCGTCCCGAGTGTCTATATCCATCGTCAACGTCGCTGTCCGTCTCACTGCCAGCGCTGAGCCAGTTGACGTCACCAAACCGGCCGTTCGGCTCAATCGACGCCGTGGGTACCGAGATCGAATACTGAATGGTTACCTCCGTGTGCTCGACGCCGTCGTAGTAGAAAGCCTCGGACCGCGGACCGCGGATAAAGTGAACATCGCCAATTCTCTCGTCGGCATCATCGCGGGCGCGCTTCAACAGCTGCTGCTCCTGTGCCTCCCTGTCCTCGCGCTTGCGTTTGCCGCCGCGTGGTGAGATCAGCGCCGCAGGTGGGACAGCAGCGCTGGGTGGTTCCGCCAGCCGTGGCACATTGTACCCAGAGCGGCTTGACACGGACAGACGCGATGGTGGAGCCACAGTATGGACCAAGCGAGGGCCTTCAAAGCTAAAAGGGTCCAGACTCACGTTCCTGCGGGCTGGAGGCTGATGTAACCTCGCGGCGGCGCTGGTAAGTGCAGGCGCGGCATCAAGAACACTGCGAGGAGCTGCAATATGTGAAGGAACAGCTGGTGCATGGCTGGTACCATGGGCAATACCACGTGCGCCGCTATTGTGTCCGGGCTCCGTACGACCTCGATTCTCCGTGTTGTTCTGTGCTACGGGCGTCGCGCTTTGGGACGACAAATGACGACGAGAAGCAGTTAGTGAATTGAAGACCTGAGGGGCCTCCCAACCGCGATAGAGGCCATCCAGGTCCTGGCGTTGCTGATATAGCCCAGGTTGATATCCGAAAGACGATGACTGGTTGGTCTCAGCCGTTGTTGGTGTTCCTAGCGGGCTGCCGAACATGCCACTGATTTGTGTCGGGCTTGGCACTGACCGAAGCGGCGAGATGGTCGGCGGCACATAGGAAGGGCGGTGCGGAGCTTCGTTAAAGCCAGTGGTGCGGCGAAAGAATGGTGTCTCCTCGGCCCTGATGCGGGCATGATCATGTCCACCAGACGAGAAATCGTCGGTGAAGCACCTGCCGGCATTTGGTGACCCAAGGCAAGAGCAATAACCAGGTCGTTGGCGGTCTCCACCGCCTGTGTTGTTGGGAGTCGGGCAGTCCCTGCCAGGAGACGACATTGTTTTGCTGCGGTCAGACGGACTGTCTGGCATTGAGAGTGTGTGGTCAAACTGTCAATGGAACAATTCTGTCGAGAGATGAGAGTCGAGAGGAGAATTGGAGGAATAGAGAGGGGCGAGAGTGCCCTTTATAGTCCTGGGAGCAGAGAGGCTGGTTGTAAACATGGTTCAGGACCACTATGGGTATCGCCAGATCGGTGTAGCGATGGCTGTACAGTGGAAACTCTACCAGTGGTCCAGTCTCTAACAGGCCCTCACTCGGCTTTCATCGATTTATCCATCTGACTGGAGTTCTTGACGAAGGCCTTGATGTCACCCGCGAGGCTGTCGAGAATGACAGCCGCGGAAGGTCACGCCAAAGTGTGCGTGTGTGCTTACGAGTGACGTTTGGACATCGGAGAAAGCTTGCCGCGCACGTCGCTATTGACTTCGGTGGTATTTTGTGAGCTCTCGCCTTGGCTATCATCGTGGCTGAGATCAGCATTGACTTGACCTGAATACTGGCGGCGGTCGCTCATACACAGGGGAGGCGAGAACGGTTATCGACGAAGGCTTCGATTGGTCTCTGGCTTGAGCTGGAAAGAAGGGCTTCCTTCAGCCACGAACACCACAAATTATTCCTACCTGAACTGGCTCTCTCGTCGGCTGTGTCAGCTGGCTTCGAAAACAAATCACGCGTCTGCTCGTCACCGCGCCACTCGCTCGCCGCAAGGGCCTTCGCATGAGAAGGCTTTCTCCACGGGATGGCCCTTGTGTAGCTTTCTGGAATGGCTATAGACCCATGAGAAAATTTGATCATGGTGTGAATGATCATAGTGTGAAGGCGATATCGAATGCGTACTATGGCCAAGACGGTTGCCGCCAGGGTGGTGAATGTAAAGGGAAAATGCACTGTCAGTGAACGGTGCCCGTGTGCGCAAAAGGGCATTTGGTCCATTTATGCATTTGGTGGAAGGTCTGTCTCTATCAGCTGATCATCCTTTCCGTAATTTCTGTTTCTTTCTCCGCTGGGTTGGAGGTAGCACCCGTCTGATGGACCTGGTGCAGGGTGTCGTGACAGCTATGGTGAGTACGAGGTTGAGGAATTTGTACCCTTGTTTGGAGAGAACCATAGACTTCACCGATGGATGACCATGGCTTATTGAGTCCTTCTTGGGGTTGATGCACAGCATGTTTTTACATACGGCGCTTGGTTCGTGCACTCGCGCTGGTACTGCACCCAACAGAACGGCATGCAAGCCGTGCCTGGGGATCTCCATCAGTGAAGCCTCGTACTGGCTCGGACACCGAGATGAGGAAGCATCGACCCACGTTCGACGGCCTAGGCACAGGCTCGTCACGCCAGTGATTGCGAGATAGGTAGGTAGGTACCTAGATAGGTAGGATAGGAAAACCATCGGCACGAGCGTCTGAATTACCTCCAAAGTATTATTCCGTACGGCAATTCCTTTGTCGCTGTTGCAGCGACACTTGCAGCGACAGACAGGGCTCAGAGCTTGCCTGCAGCTTTCCCCTTCCCGGGCGCAGCCTCGAACTTGGCCTTCCACTTCTCGTCCTGCTTGAACATGGAGGCACATTGCAGCGCATTTGGGTTGCCAAACTCAGGGTCAGCCCCTCCCTCGAGGAGAGCCTGTTCACTACGTCAGCGAGAGCGCCCTGAGAAGACAAATCAGTCCTACCTCGATGACGGCGTCTTCCATCTTGAAGACGGCGCCAGCAAGGGGACTCTGCCCCTTGTCGTTGAGCCGATTTGGGTCGGCGCCATGCTGCAAGAACAGCTTGACGAGCTCGGCGTGGCCGTAGTACGCGGCAAGCATGAGCTGTTCGGTAGGTTCACGCGTCAACGACCGATGCAATGTTTAAGGGGAGGCTTCGAAAAAGGGGGGGAGGGGGGATTAAAATGGGATGATGGGTCTTCCTACCAAGCTGTCTCCCTTTTCGTTGGTCATGTTGACGGGCAGGCCGGCAGGGAGGGCCTGCGCGAAAACGGTGGCGTCGCCGGAGCGAGCGGCATCGTACATACGGCCGGCAAGCTCGATAGCCTCGGGCGGAAGGGTTGTGGCGGAGGGATCAGTCATTGCTACCTAATCGTGTTGCCGATATTCCTGCTTTGGTGTTAGTCGCCGGCGCACGAGTGTGGGATTGTGAGACGTGATGAGGCGGGCAACTACTGAGGTGAGGTGAGGTTGGGCTTGTATTGTCTGTGCAATCCAGATGTTTGGGGGTGGAATGGCATCTGGATGACACTGACCTCTATGAACACCAAGAGGCGGAGGATCTGAAGTACCCTTTCGGCCTGCGTCACAGTCCCCCCGCATCACAAACCCCAAACCCTGCATGCAGCAGCTCTGGATTGTGTGCACCAGCCTCACCGAGACCATCCACCGAGGGCCACCGAGACTCGTTTGACCTCGGTGAATCGACGGCAACAGGCAAAGCCGCGACCCCACTCGTACCCGCTGAAAACCGAGGGCGCTGAACGTCACCAGCACGCTGTGTTCCCATTTCCCAAGACTCGTTTCTCGCAGCTCAAACGTTGCCTCTTGCCGCCGTCCATTGATCCTCCCAACCCTTCTTCACACACTCGAAGATGCCTCCCCAACTCTCTCTCCGCGTCTCCCTGCGCACCGTCCGGGCGGCGCGCTTCTACTCGACCGCCACAGCTGCCGATTCGGCGGCGCCGCTCATAACCGTCACACACCTGCCGGCGCCCGGCTCTGGCCACATTCGCGTGCTCGAGCTCAACCGTCCCTCGGCGCGCAACGCCATCTCCAAGGCGCTGCTCGCCCAGCTGCGTGCCGAGATCGATGATGTCCACGCCCAGTACGACGAGGGCGGCAACGAGCTG